GTATCATTTTATTTTTGTCTTATTTATTGTTCATTAGGTATGAAACAAGAATAAAATGATGCAATGGCTCCCAAACGCTGGCATTGTAAACGGCACAAGAAACAAAAATTAAATTAATTGAATATTATATAATGACGATCGAATTGACAATGAGATCAAAGATCGAAATAATTTGTCTACGAAAGGAATGCTTGAGTTGGAATCTGTTAGAATTTGCAAAAGATGCACGACTGATATTTTAATCTCAATTGATAAAAGTAATTATAATGTCCGTTACTTACTTTCGACGGTGAACTTGAATAACAGACACTGATTATTTTTATCAATCGAGATTGTAAATATTTGAAAAAAACCTGGTATTATAAATTACATAATTTAATATTCAATGTTGATCGAGCTGAGAAATGCAGGATGAAAGATCCATCTGAGCAGCATGATGAAAAATAATCTCTCCTCTTATTTAAATATACCATATTTTAAATATATCGTACGCAACCTATTTACGAGTAAATGTACTTCGTGACACCTGTGAATTTTCCCGCGAGTTAGGCCCTGCGCACAATGGAGGAAATATTAAGAACAGGAATAGATATTAAGATTTGAACCTATCAGATACCAGTTACACCGGAATATACGGTTTCTGATAGGTTGAAATTTTAATATCTATTCCTGTTCCTAATACTTCCTCCATTGTGCGCAGGGCCTTAGATCTCGCAATATTTCATGTTGCTTCGCATTTGCCAGGGATGTAATACGATCTATCAAAGGCCATGTCCTTTGCGTCTGAATTGCCTTGAAAGAATTTTAAAATTTATGATTTTTTTTTCTGTTGCCAAAAATTTGATTTGTTCAAGTACTCTGAGTAAAAATACAATTTGACCAAATTTTAAAGAAACGCTTAAAGGTATGCATAATTTTTGATTTTTATATAAAAAAAAGGAAATATTTCTTTTTCAGTAATTTAATTAAGAAATGGGAAAAACAAACGCATTACCGGTCATTATTTGTTGGTTCTCCAGTTTTAAACGCATCATCAAATTATAGACAGGATTTGCTGCGTTCAATAGAGCTTTGCAATTGTTTGTTGTAAAATTGTTTAAGATTGTTGGTTTATGTATTATTTAGATCTAATGAGAAACTAAAGCAGGATTAATCATTATGTTAAAGAATAATTTTACAACTACAATGCTACTTTTTCTGCTGAGTGCAAAATCGAAATTCTAGATGCTGCGTAATAAAAAATCGACGATTATTCGAAGGACAGAAATCGATACATGCAAGAAAAGCAAATTCTATTCTTCGAGCAGAAAGGCGAAGAATCAACGCAAAAATAAAAAATGTACTTCGAAACTAATATGGACTCAAGTACGATAGATTGCCAATTTTTTCAAATTTTTTTTTTCAATATAGGCTCGTATAATTGTATATTATACAATTTTATATATATATCTGTATGTATAATTGTATATGCAATATTGCAGCAATAATGCTGCAATTGTTTTGTGCTGTTAGAGCACCTTGATTAAACTCTCTACACTTTTTTCTAATCCTAAAAATTTAAACAAGATAAAAATCGAGCAAGTTGAACCGAGAATTTAAGTTAATCTACACAATGGTAGAAATGAACATATTAATTTAATTTTAATAGTAAAAGCACTATGAAGTAATTATTGTATTAAAGGTGATACTCATAGTTTTGTACTTAAGATCGTCTTAAATTGATTTAATAATAATAATAAAGCTCTATAAACGATTATTGTACACGTACCTATTATTCTTGAGATATTATCTTATTAATATATATTTCTACCAATTTAGATTAACTTTAATTCATTTTTTCATTTGTTCTTAAGCTCTAAAAATTAGAAAAAAATAAAAAATAAATTAACACAAAATTAATCTACACGTGGAAACAGTCAATGACCCTGAATGAACTGTTCGATTCAGTTCAATTCAATATCAAATCAAAAGGGACTATTAGACATGAAAATAATCAATTTATCGTCCATTTATTCGTGCCCTAAAGCTCGTACTAGTCTCGATTTACAGTTATATTTGACTATCAACTAAATTGAGCTAACTAAATACATTTTGTTCACTTATTCTCATATTCGCGTGCCCTTGTGGTGACTCGCTCGTTATGTTACCCGCCGGGGAAACGAGCCAATTGGACGCTTCCATATTTCTAAGCGTGCACACGCGTACTCGAGGTTGGATCCAAAGACATAGGCCGGTATTCATAATCAATTCTTATTTCAAGACCATCTTACGTAATGTCTTAAGACGCTAATGCAGCGCTCTGATTGGTTCGTGACTTCTTAAAACCATACTTAAGACGATCTTGAATATAAGATCTGACTATG